CTCCAGGCTCCTTGCCCAGGCTCTCTCAGGAATCGGGCCAGGCCAATGTTCAGCACAGAAAAGCCCCGTGAGCAGCCCCAGGCTGGCCGTGGGCAGGCTGGGGGCAAACAGCATGGCTGGGGCTCTGCAAGGGCCCTGGGGCAGGTAGGAAGGAGCAGCAGAGCAGGAGCTGATCCATCCCCAGTGCGCTGCACTGCCCAGGGCAGCGTCCCAGATCGTCCTCATGGAGCTGCCAACAACAAACAACATTCCCTCTCTGCAGCCCTGGCCTCTCCCCAGCTCACACAGGTGCCCCATCCTTGCAGGCACAGACACGGCAGCACTGGCTCAGCAGCCCCTGTTTGCATTGCACACAGCAGGGGGAGCACCCCCATGCTGTTGCTGTGGGGACATGAACCTGAAGCAGCACAAATGCCATCAGCCCCTGGGGCCAGCAAGGGCTGAGGGACACCAGGGAAACCACTCAGCTTTGTCCTGGCCTCTGCAGTCAGCCAGAAAGTTTGTTCCCATCAGCTGGGAGTTTCCTGTCCCATTGCAGACACTACTGCCACTGCTCCAAGTGTGGTTCCAGAGAATCACAGAAGCAGCAAGGTTGCAAAAGACCTTGGAGATAATGAAGTCCAACCTGTGCCCTGACACAACCTTGCCTACCTAAGCCTCCTCTTCTCCAGGATAAACAACCCCAGCTCCTTCAGCCACTCCTCACAGGATTTGTGTTCCAGACCCCTCACCAGCCTTTTGCCCTTCTCTGGACACGCTCCAACCCCTCCATGTCCTGCCTAAATTGTGGGCCCAGAACTGGACACAGCACTTGAGGTGTGGCCTCAGCAGTGCTGAGTGCAGGGGAACAATCCCTGTCCTGCTCCTGCTGGCCACACCATTCGTGATACAGGCCAGGGGCCATTGGCCTTCTTGCCCACCTGGGCACACTGATGCCTCATGTCCAGCCTGCTGTCCATCAGTCCCTGCAGGGCCCTTTCTGCCTGGCTGCTGTCAGGCCACTCTGTCCCCACCCTGTAGCACTGCAGGGATTGTTGTGGCCAAAGTGCAGGACCTGGCACTTGGACTGGTTAAACCTTACCTTGTTGGATTTGGGCCCTGGATCCAGCTTGTCCAGGTCCCTCTGCAGAGCCCTCCTACCCTCCAGCAGATCCACACTCACACCCAGCTTGGTGTCAACTGCAAATTTGCTGATGCTGGACTCAGTCCCCTCATGCAGATCATCCGTGTAGATATTGAAATCCACGCTGGCTGGCTCTGATCCCTCAGTCATCCTGTGGGTGCCCTGTGATGGCACTCACGGTGATCTGTTCCATAACCTTGCCGGGCACCCAGGTCAGGCTGACAGGCCTGGAGTTCCCCACATCCTCCTTCCAGCCCTGCTTGGGGATGGGCTCACACTGGCACCTCCAGTCCTCTGGGACCTCCCTGCTGAGGCAGCACTGATGGTAAATGATGGAGAGCAGCTTGGGGAGCTCATCCACAGCTCCCTCATGCCCCTGGGATGGATCCCATCTGCTCCCAGAGACACCTACAAGCATCTGAGTGGCTCAGCAGGTCACCAACTGCTTCCTCCTGGATT